AGTCCCTTTCTGTCCTCACTGACCCTGCCTAGCCCAGAGCTGGGAATGGTATTTTCCTGACGTTTTTACCTGCTTGGGGCTTCCTTATTTTGTCTGCCTTTATGGCCAGCTGGCTGCTGTGCTTCAGCAATGAGGAAGGCGGCAGCTCCAGCTGATGGGGGGAAGTTCTGGTTTTTGATTCATTACACGGGAAACACTACGTGAGGGAAAGAATCGATTCAGCGTATGGAATAGTTAGTGTTCTCAAAAAATGCTTGTTCTTCCAAGGAAGAACGCACCCCAGAGCACACTGATCAAGTTTGGTTTGGTAGCAGAAGGAAGGAAGTGTGTTCGGAATATATCTTATTCTAGAAAGGCTTTTAGAGAGCTTCCTGGATTAATGGATGCTATCTAAAATGTTCATTTCCAGGCAACAGGGGGTTAGGGACCTCCTTCCGTTCTCTCTGCCTGCTTCCCTTTCTCCTGTAAAAGTGGAAAAGGGAAGTGGTCTGTGCGTTGAAGAATGGTTTTCCACTTAGAAATTTCTAACTTGGTAGGATTTTTAAAAGTAATTTCAGTCTTCAGAAATTCATGAAGATGGTGGTGGAAATGGGTAGCAGAAAGCAGAAGCTGCCAGTGAAGGTTCTAAAGCCACTGCTTCTTGTGGCAGAAGTTGTGTTCGAGGTTTCGTTTGGTTTTATTTTTTTCTTAGCTCTTTTCTAGAAACAAGTGCCCCATTCCTGGTCCTGGAGAACATTAAGTACAAAAACATAGCTCTTAGCTTCTGCCAGTTTGAAGCCGTCAGCGTCCTGGTGAAGCCAGCCGGGGGTTTCCTCCGGGCCGGCGCCCTGTTTGCAAAAGCCCGACTGTTCACAGGCACCGGGCGACGAGGAAAGTCTGCCTTTAGGTGCACCTCATGGTGAACAGGAATATTCTTGCAAGCAGAAAATTTACCTGAAAAATCAACAGGTGAACATTTTCCTCCAAAATGGAAATAGCTTTTTGAGTTTAAAAGAAATGCGCTCTTCACATGAATATAAAGAAAACGAAATCATTTGGAATCCCACCACCCAGGAAAAACCTGCTGATCTTGCATGTATTCCTCTCAGCTTCATACATAGCCATTCTTACATTTACATCTTTACTCCTGTGGGAGTCTGTTGTGGAAGGTGAGGTTTAAGGGTGTTAATTCTGGCTCCTCACCACTGGGTAAGTTGTTAATCCTTTTGCTGCTAAATTTTGTAACGCTGGACCTGCCGGAATTGTTCCTTTCTGGAGTCTCTTCTGTTTATTCCAACGCGTGGTGTTCATACTGTATTTTTGTAACATACTTTGCAAGACTGTTAGGCAAATCCCTGTCATTACTCTTTTTTTGAGAGGAATGGGAGGGACTCTTGTGCATTTATATTTATGAATAAAGTTATAATTACTTCATCAAATTCCAAAAAAACCCCTTGGAATTGTTTAAATAGGGAAGAATTCATATCTTTACATTAAGGCTTCCTATTGGAGGTATCTCTTCATTTATTCAGATTTTCTTTGTCTCAGTAAAATTGTCATTTTTCTCATTTAGATGCTATATGCTGTTAATCACTGCAACAGTGGTTGCAGTGTAACTTTGGAAAATCCTTCAGGAAAGTGAATTAGCAAAAGTTATGAAAATGTTTATACTTTTGACTCAGTTACCCCATTTCTAAACAGTACCCGTGGGTTAAGGTGGACAGAACCCTTTCCCGTGAGTGAGAGTTTGCCCTTTGTTTAACTTTCTAGCTGTTTCCCTGGGAACCCCACTAAAGGCAGCGCGGTTTGTGATAAAACGTTCTCCTGGTTGGTGATTGCATCTGACAGATGGGGAGTGGCTGTGAGTACCTGATGCGCCCCAGGCCCACTGGAGCACAGTGGCTCTCACGCTGGGCGTGTCCCTCGTGGGGAGCCCCCCAGGAATGAGGGCTCAGAGTCAGGGTGGTGAGTCCAGGCCGCCTCCCTGTGCCTGAGCTGTCTGCGGTGTGGGCTGTCGCGAGGACAGCCAGCGATCCGTGTTCCTCAGGGCCGGCGTGGCCTGCGATAGACACGTGAGTTTGAGCCTAAGAGACCTCCCCAGGGGCATTGCTGCGGCCCAGGAAAATGACCCCACAAATGGAAGTTCAGAGCTGTTTCTTATGGCGTTTCCCCCAGATTTTTGATATATTAAACAAAAGGTAGGAATGGCTATTAAAATGCTTAATTCACTCAAAGAAATATTAGACACTGAGACTCTCATGGAAGCAAGTACTGGAAAACAAGGCTAAATAGTAACGTGGGAGAGACAGAATACCGGGTTGTGTGCGGGGCTGGGTGAGCTCTGATGGGGACTTGGGACTTCCCGGCTGTGCCCTCCGCTGGGTTCTGGGGGTTCTGTGACTGGGTGTGCAGGTGACGAAAGACGCTCAGGCGTCGTGCTCTGCTGCCCAGGAGGGTCAAGGTGGCCGCACGGGCCCACCTGCCACCGCTGTGAGCAGAAACCTGAGAGGACACAAACGTGAGGTCTGTCGTGTGGGAACAGGATGGGTGAAGTGTGTTTCTTATTTCCTTCTAATATTATGAAATAATACTGGATGCACCTTGAGCCTTACTAAACCAGGTCATGGAAATCCCTTTTCCCATTCTCAAAATCAGTGACTTAAACATTCTTTAAGAATTTCTTTGCAAAGCTCACCTTCTTTTCATACCTTTCCTTAATTTGCCCTTTGGATTTGAAACTTGTCCCAACTGTCATAATCTGATCTCTAGCCCAAAATATGGTACCAGACCTTGGGGAGAGACTCTTAGGTTAAACTTTGGTCAAGGTAGTCCCTAGGGAGGAAGGTAGGGCTGTGGATCTCGTGGGTGATCATGGGTGATTGGGGGTGTGTACCTCTAACTGCAGAGAGAAAAAACCAACACCAACCCTAGATCTGATGGATGACTAAGGGAAACAGGCAGAACTCGGGCTTGTCTTATGCCACCCCCAGCTAGCACCGGTGGGCGCTTCATAGACAGAAGCTATGTCTGTGTCTCCGGAGCCTGCACAGACACGAGGCTTTGGCTCTGAGACAGCTTTGCCCCAGGCTAGGTCGTGGCGCCTGCTGACTGCCGCTGCTTTGACCCCCGTTCCCACACCATTTGTGAAGCCGTGGAAGACACCACTTTCAGGCGCATAGGGCTCGCCACCTAATCCTGCTCTGTGGGGCACTAGCTCGTTCTGATACTTTCCTTCAGTTTCCTTGTGATGCCAGCAGCTGAAAGAGAACAGTTGACAGCCAGGCATCTGGAAACCGAGGCGTGTCGTTGAATTACCTTGCCTGGGCCTGCGACTTACTGCTTCTCTCACTGCCTTCTCGACTCTGTCCTGTTTATTCATCTCGGTATTTGGCACACATTAAAATCATAGCACCAACATTTACTAACCACTTACTATACCCTAGTCAGTGTCCTGAGCATTCTTCTCATCCAGGCCTCACATCACCCATGGGACATAAGAACTATTTTCCCTATGCCAACAGGTTAAATGACTTGCCCCGGGTCACACAGCTGGAAAGTGGCAACGCCAGAGGAGCATGGGATCGGGATTTGCATGCTTAAGTCACCCCCACCGTAGGTAGGCAGTGCGGTCATCCTCACCTTCAGGAAGCCAGGTGGATAAAGGCGAAACTAAAGGTAGCTTTTTTCAGACCCAGTCTTGACTGTCTTGTCTTCCCAAACTATGGGAAAATAACAGGCTTTATTTAACCCACATCCTTACCTCCTTCCCCTAATTATAAACCCTTAATTTCCCCCAGCTCCACTGAAGGTAGGAGTCGGATATGGCCCCGTGACTGTTAGTGATAGTCTCCTGCCCTGGCTATTTCAGTGTCTGCCGAGGATAATGGCCAAGGCTAGAGGTTCTCCGAAGGCATAGGTGTCATTTCTGAGGCTCACATGCAATCATAAATTCCTGATTCTAGAGGCGGTTGCAGCTCTCTCCTGGGGATCGGCTGCCTGAGGAGTGCTCCTCTGGAAGTTTTTAATTAAGTCACTGACATTGGGGTCCAGAATTTAGGACTCCTGCTTTCTTGAAAGTTGTTCATCTTCTGAAAGTTACTGGGTCAGGCCCTGAGGACTGAGGGGCAATTAAGACAGAAGGCCGGTCTTGATAAGTAAATTGACCACGCGGTCACGTGGTGGCAGAGAGTTGAGCACAGATCCTATTGTCTGGTCGAGGCTGTGGAAGGCTACCTGAAAGGCTTTCTGGGGAAAGGTGGTCTCAGGAGCTGTGAAGTCAAATGTTAATTTGTGCACTCACCCAATACTTGATGCTTCTGTGCTTGGCACTGGAGAGTAAAACCGCGGGGAATAAAACTGTTTTCACAGAAATTATTAGGAAAGGGAGAAGAGAAATGAATGTAATACATTAAAACATCAAGTACAGTTTATCCTTGAACAGTACGAATGACGCGACCCTGCTGGTTGATACTGTGGATGCAGGACCGCGGATGTGGCGCCGCGGATGCGGAGGGCCGACTGTTAAGTTATAAGCGATTTCCAACTGAGTGGAGGGTCAGTGCCCCTAACCCTTGAGATGTTCAAGAGTCAACTGTAGTGGTAAGTACTCTGAAGAAAAAATAAGGCAGAGTGAAGGATAGACGGCAAACGGGGAGAGGGTGTGTGCTGCTTTACTTCAGATAAAGTGGTCGCCTCCGAGGAGTGACCTTTGAGCAGACCTGCCTGAAGCAGGACCCAGCTGCTGAGTAAACGGAGCATTTTGATCCAGCATCCAAGTGGGAGAATCATTCCTTCAGACTCCTCCCAGGGGCGGGATGGTCCTGACACGCTGTGTGGCCGAGCTCTTGGGTCCAGAGTTCCAGTACTGATACTGTGTTCCGTCGAAGGCCCTGGACGGCGGGGAGCCGCCGGCAGAAGGGCTCAGGCGCAGTGCTCTTGGGGCTGCCGAGACGTTGTGTGCCCAGGGAGGTGGTCCCGCTGGGTGTTCCCGCCCTGCTTACGTGCATTCTCCTCTCTTCTAGCTTGAAGGATGACCTCGAGGAAGAAAGTGCTACTGAAGGTTATCATCCTGGGAGATTCTGGGTAAGTGTCCCTCCTAAACTTGAGCCAGCACACTGGCCTGGATTTAAATTTCACCTGCTTGGAGCTCACGCCCTCTGTGCTGACATCTGCTGCCTCCATCTCTAACAGCCGTGGCATTAGGGCCCTACGTTTCCGTGCTCTTAGGAGCACAGCAAAAATCGGAATGACCCCTGGTCAGGTAGTCCTTTGTTCCCCAATTTGGGGCATGATTTAGGGAAAAGGGTGGCTGTTTGAACTCAATTAATGATAGTTTCATGGGGGACTTCCCTGGTGGCACAGTGGTTAAGAGCCCGCCTGCCAGTGTAGGGGACACGGGTTTGAGCCCTCCCCGTGGCTCCGGGAAGATCCCACATGCCGCGGAGCAGCTAAGCCCACGAGCCACAACTGCTGAAGCCTGCGTGCCTAGAGCCCATGCTCTGCAACAAGAGAAGCCACTGCAATGAGAAGCCTGTGCACCGTGAGGAACAGTAGCCCCCGCTCGCCACAACTAGAGAAAGCCTGCGCGCAGCAGTGAAGGCCCAACATGGCCGTAAATAAACAAGCGCACAAACAAACAAATTTATTTTTAAAAAAAGAAAAAAAAGAATCCGCTTGCCAATGTACGGGACACGGGTTTGATCCCTGGTCTGGGAGGATCCCACATGCCGTGGAGCAACTAAGCCCGTGTGTCACAACTACTGAGCCTGCGCTCTAGAGCCCGCGAGCCACAACTACTGAAGCCCATGTGCCTAGAGCCCGTGCTCCACAACAAGAGAAGCCACTGTGATGAGAAGCCCGTGCACCGCCACGAAGAGTAGCCTCTGCTCGCCGCAACTAGAGAAAGCCTGCGCGCAGTAAAGAAGACCCAACGCAGCCAAAAACAAAGAAAGAAAATATATTAAAAATAAAAAATCATGGAATCCCTTTCCCAAGCTGGTTAGACTAGGGGGCGCTGTTTTATGTAGGCTTGTTGCCGTTGGCGCTGTGTCCACGAGATGGAGGTTTGGGGTGCACTGTGCAGCACGTGCAGAGCCCCGAGACACTGCGGGCTTGGTTCTGGACCGCCGCGACGAAGCGCGTATCGACGTGAGGGGAGGCACGTGAACTTTTTGGTGTCCCAGGGCGTATGAAAGTTAGTTTGCACTATACTGTAGTCTCTTAGGTGTACAATAGCCTTACGTCTAAACACAGTGTACAAACCTCAATTTAAATGCTTTTATGACTAGAGAGTGCTAACCATCATCTCAGCCTCCAGGCAGTCGTAATATTTTTGCAGTAGTAACATCAGAGTCACTGATGACATGATGACAAACGTACGAACGAAGAAGTGTGAAGTGTTGCGAGAACTAAGAAAATGTGACACAGACATGAAGCGAGCAAATGCCTTTGGAAAATGGCACCGACAGACTCGCTCGGCACAGGGCTGCCACAGACCTTCAGTCTGTGAGAAGCGCGGTTTGCACAGAGCGCATTACAGTGAGGTGTGCCTGCATCCTCCTCCTGCTGTGCCCGAGTCAGTAGAGCCTGGGACTGGAGAACCGGGTTCGGGTCCTAGATCTGCCGCTAACCGGCTAACTAGCTAGTTCTTTCATCACTGTTAAGATTCAGGCGGTTACGGGGTGGCGGGGGGGAGCTTTTCAGACTTGGCATCTGAAGTGACCCATGAAGACTTAGACCAGAGGCTACATATTTTTTAAAACAATATGATAATAAATGCAGGTGCACGTCCTTATTCCAAAGTTCTTTTTAAAAGGCAGTGATTTTTCTACCGTGGCTGGCTTTTTTAATCACCCGAGGAGCCTTTTAACAATTAGCATTTGCCCAGACCAGTGGGTAGGACCTGGTTGGCAGTGCTTAAATACACGCGCACTTATCTCTCCCCGCTCCTCCCTCCCTGTCCCCCCTTCCACTCACATACATTCTCCTGGTGCCTCTGGTATGCTGTCAGGATTGAAAGTACTGCTTTTAGCCTGTGTTACCCCAAACTTGCCTGATTACAGATTTCCTGTCTTTTCTCCCTGGAAATTCTGGTGCACGGTGACCAGGTGGAGAACACTGCCTTGGGCTGTTTGTATTTCCAGGTCCCCTCTGCATGTGAAATGAATGTGTTCCTTTGTGAAAAGGCAGGTATTACTGGCTGTGAGGAAGGCTTGCGTTGTCTTTGGCCTGTCCTAACTACCTCATCACCAAAAACAAATCACTCGTTGTCTCTTGCTGACTTTTCTTACTGGAGAATACCTGTGGAGGGGCGTACTTTGAGGTAGATTCTGGTTTGGTGGAATATTGGTGCTTTTTTCTGCTTCAGATTTTAAACTTTGAAGCAGCAGATTGGTTAACTGGTGTAAGTGTCTGCTCGGAGCCAGTGGCTTCCTCTGGCTATTATTTGCTTGGACTGAATAGCAACCGCTAAATGGAGACACACCCAAGGCGGCCGAGATATTTTTGGACTAGTGGAGCGATCTTATTGCTGGGGCTTCTTTTAGAAGGAGAGTATTTGTTGGCATGCTTCTGGAAGGAGAGGAATAATACTAGGCTCCACCAGCTGTACCAGAACCTGGAAGCAGCTTTTCCAGATCTGGCCTGCATCTGTACCCTGTGTTTTTGTCCCAGCAGAAAGCATGTCATCAGGCGAGTGAACTGGGAAGTTTTCCTCCTCTGATGGGGGTGGGCAGGGCCTTGTTCTCCTGAGGGACGGGCAGGTTCCTTCCGAGCTGCAGGTGTCAGTCAGTTTTCAGTGCCTTCCTAGTTGACTTACACTTGTGGTTTTTCTCCAATTTCAGAGTCGGTAAGACATCACTCATGAACCAGTATGTGAACAAGAAATTCAGTAATCAGTACAAAGCCACAATAGGAGCAGACTTTCTGACAAAGGAGGTGATGGTGGATGACAGACTAGTTACAATGCAGGTAAGCGCATGTCTCACCTTTGCCAGCCAAGCCTTGGTCATTTCCGTCTTTACCCGTTTTTCATGCCCAGGCATTTTCCCCTCCCTGTTCTTTAGATCTATTATATTCACGGATAATTGGCTTATAGGTAGGATTGCCAGATAAAATGCAAGACATCAAGTATGTCCCAAATACTGTGTGAGACATACTAAAAATTTTTCATTTTTTTCCAGAGTTCAAATTTAACTGGGCTTCCTGGTTTTCATTGTTTTTTTTTGCTGTAAATTTGGCAACCTACAGGTTCCTGTCTTATGTCTCCAAAGTGTGCAACTTGTCTCTTTCCTGATACCCTCGCCTAGTTCTTTAGGTCAAAAAAATCTTTGGGTCTCTCCTAGGTTCTTGCAGCAGCTGTTAAATTAGTTTTCCTGCTTTTCTGGCTTCCTATAATCTGTCTTATCTGTAGCCCTTAAAGTTGTGTTTCTATTAAGCCAGTCTGGTTTTTCATGTATCAGCTTAATCTGATTTCAAGGGCTTCCCTTTCAACAGTTAGGATAAAAACAGATTCCTTCACATGGCTCTTTAAAAAGCCTTCACATTCTGGCTACAAACTATTCTTCACTCTTTCATCTCCTGCCAGTCCTTCCGAATCATGTGCTGCTCTTACAAAGCTGTAGTTGCACGTGTCTCTGCTCGCTAGGCCCTTTGGTCACAGCTGTACCCATCCTGAAGTCGCCAACTTTCAGCCCAGATGTTGTCTTTGGAAGCTCCTACCTCCACACCAGTTGTTCCTTACTTTCTCTGCTAAATGATGTCCTGGGGAGACTAAGACATGGGGGTCCTAGCGAGCACCGGGCTCGCTGAAATGTTTGGATGGTACAGGTTGCCCATAGTTTTTACATGTGTTGACCTCAAGCTGTCACATGCTCCCAGGGGAACTCAAACCTCCAGGATGGGGCTAATGTGGCCCCCCCATACCGCAGGCATACACACAGAGGTGTTCGGTGTACAGCTGGAGGTGGGCAAAATAGGTCAAGGGGATTAAGAGGTACAAACATCCAGTCATACAATAAATAAGTCCTGGGGAGGTAATGTATAGTTGGCAATATTGTAATAACTCTGTGTGATGACAGATGGTAGCTAGACATCGTGGTGGTCCTTTTGTAACTTACAAAAATATAAAATCACAGTGTCCGTACACCTGAAACTAATATAATATTGTACGTCAGTTATACTTTAATAGTAAGTGTGTGTGTGTGTGTGTGTGTGTAAAACTAAAGTTTGAATAAGCCAAGCTTGAGAGAAAAGGAAATTACCAGATAACAGGAAAGAAGAGAGAACTGAAAGATCATCATAAGCTCAGGGGCTCCTGCCATGGTGATTTGTGAATTTATAACGGGGACTTGAGTTCTGTCTGTCATGAAGGACAAGAGGCGTGAACTGCACAAGGTGCGGGCCCAGAACTCAGAACCCCCTGAACACATAGACACGCACTCGTCTAGGACCTTGGGAAGATGTGAAACAGGACCCAAAACCTCAGCCCACGGAAGTGGCAAAGCTGGCATGTGGGGTGCAGGCTGGGGTTTTGCTGCTTGCTTCCTGGTTGGAGACTCCCAGCCCCACTGTGCCCATGTGTGGATTCTCAGTTTCTGCTCTGCCAGGCACAGAGAGTTTAGTCTGGAGGGTCTGACATAACCCTCTGTCACTCCTGGCAAATACAAAGATAAGACCACCCTATAGGGACAGAGGATGAGCTCAAGGGGAAATAATGGCCTGCAGAAAATGCTCACAATGACTAGAGTTCTTGGAATGGAAACCATAAATGAAAAGGGGCACTATAAAAAACGAGGCTATGGGAAGCTTAGTGGAACTTCAAGAAGTGAAAAAGTAGTCACTGAAATAAACTGAACAGTTAAACCTCAGATTAAACATAGCTGAAGAAAACAGTAAACTTCAAGGTTAAGCTGAGCAAATTACCTCCAGAGTAAACTCAGAACTGGAGCGCCAAAGGTCAGCATCCTAGAAGCAACTGGGGAGAGAGGACAGGCTACAGATAAAGGAGCAGCCGTTAGATAGGTGCTCGGCTGCAACAGAAAGCAGAGGGGAAATGGGATGTCTTCAGGGTGCCGGGGCCAAACGCCACCTGAAGACTTCCCGTGTCCCGTAGCAGGGGAAGCAGATGGAGAGCCACGCTGTGGTTCTGACAGCCAGGTGGGCTGATGAGAAGCGAGACCCTGTCCCTCCTGGCTCAGGGGCCATTCTGATAGAGCCCCACAGGTACCATGAGCTCGGACCTTGGAGTTTCCCGGAGTCGACCCCATCTGGAGAAACCCAGGGCACCAAAGCAGAGTCTGGAAAGGGTGGGAGAAAAGAACATGGTCCTCAGGTTGAAACAAAAGTCTGGCCCTTGTGCTCCTGCAGCCAGTGTAAAAGGCTAGAATTAAATGAAAACCATCGTCTCCGGACAAAGGCGTCTCGAGGAATCCTCCCCTGTTTTTCACGGGCCTTCAGCACTTGCAAAAGTAGATAATTCAGATTAAGATGGCAAGGCAAGAACCAGTGGAAACCCCCTGGCTGTTCAGAGTGGTCTTTGTATTTAAAGAAACCAGGCAACCTTGTGTATCTGCGGAGAAGAAACTAAGCCGGTGGCGTAGGTCAGTAGAACTTCTAAAAATGAAATGCAATAAGCACAGTTTGGAAATACAGAGAGTGTTTTTAGCAACAGATAGGATACATCACAAGAGGGCTGAAAGGAAGAAAAATGGTGGGAAACGGGGAAGAGAGGTAGAAACAGGATGCAGTGAGTAGGTCGCACTTAATTTTAATTAGTCTCAGACGAGCGAATAGGTGAAAGGTGTTTGCTGAGGATTTTTCAGAACTGATGTGGCACCAAATCCACAGATGCAGGAGAAATAAAGAAGTCTAGAAGAATCATATGGAAAAAAAATTCTTTTTTTTTAAGACAAACTTGAAGGCAGCCAGAGGAAACAGAATGACCTGGAGGAGCAGCAGTGAGGCTGCCAGTGGGACTGGCAGGCTGTGGAGTGTGAGCCGGGGCTGTCAGCAGGGTGTTCTGAGCCCTGGAAATGCCCGCCTCCAAGAAGGAAAGCGAGATGCACTTCAAGCGCAAGTGGAAAGGTCTGAGATAAGCTAAGCTGAGATAAACTTAACTGTATGCATGCATCTGTTTTTAGAATTATGACCCTAACAGTAAGAGTATGTAGCTTCAAACCAGTACAAGGAAACCGGGATTGGAACTGTGTAATTTAACGTGTGGGGAAAGATGAGTGGCCGTGTGCATTTTAAAATTTCTTACATTGTTCAGGAGGAAGCTAGAAATCAATCGGTATTAAACATTAGCTGGAGTCAAGTGTGCACGAAAAACCTAAAGGCAACTTATGAAGCCATAGTAATTTAAACAGTATGATATTGTCACAGAGATCCACAGATCAAGGGGACGGAGGGAACAGAAACAGGGCACGCCTAGCTGGACACTGGGTAGGTAGAGGTGGCTTTGCAGAATGGGGAAAGGACAAGTCAGAGGACAAGCCGTCCTGTAAACAGGACTGGGCCGGTGGCTTTCCATTTGGTGAGGAGTAGCCAGAGTGTTCAAGACCTGAACGGAAAAAGCACAAAATGAAAATACAGGTTCTTTGGGGTTTTCTTAACTTCAGGCATTTAAAATAGGGAAAGCACAAATCATAAAAGGTTAAAGATTGATAGTAGACCACAGTAAAACATCTGAATAACAAGATTCTAAGTAACAAACTACAGACTGGGAGAAACTGTTAATAATGCCTAATAGTATCCATTCGGCAGAATGACCTAGTGGGTAACAGGCAACTCTCAGAGGAAACCATGTCCTGTGGCCTGACGTCAGGGAATTGCAAATTTAAAAGGCTGACAAAGTCGAGTTTTGGCTAGAAGTAGAATATTCTCAAACTGATGGTGGGAACTTATCCGTGCAGCCTTTCACATGGAGGCTTCCGTCGGCTCTCCAGTGTCACACACACACATCCCTGACAAGCAGCCAGTCTGCACCTGGGTTCAGAGCCCAGGAAACTGGGGGCCCGACGACAAGTGAGGAAGAATGCTCACTGCAGCCTCTGTGCAGTCACGAAAAGCTACGGATAATGTGGAGGACCAGGGAGTCAATGGTGGTGTTTTAAGGCGCCGGATACGGTACAGCTGTTGACATCTGGAGGAAAGAACAGCCAAAAGATGCAGAGGATCTTGTACATAATATATGTAATCATGTTACGTACACTGTCTCTGTGATACAGGTCTCAGGAGCCACTTACTTCTTGTTGCGGGGAAGGGAATGGAAGGAAGGCTGTGAGGAAGGGCTGACTCTCTTCCTGAAGAACTGATGTAAAAACAGCAGTGTTAATAGTTGTCACCTTGCAGTTCTGGGTAGATAGATATATTGGGTGTATTTTGAAGGTAGAAAATAAAGTATTTCAGTTAAAATATTACAAATTTTGAAAGATCATAGCCACAAGACTGTACTTTTGTAAGTGTTAAATTAATTTTGGAAACTTGCTAAGAATAACTCCCAGTTTTTCAACTTTTCTTTTTAATTCCTTACTTTGCCTTCTCAGTATCTGAGTTCCAAGTACCCATTTGGTTCCACCAAGAGTCATAAAGTTCCTATGTGATTCTGCTCTTGGGATCCTGTCCTAAAGAAGCAATCTGAAACACAGGAAAGACTCTCTGTGTTAAAGCTCATTACTGAGTTACTTATAATTATGGAAAATTGGCAGCAGTATTTTTTTTTAAGCAATATTTTTTAAAAACGAGTGAAGTGGTTTGCTGAGTCTGCTGGACAGAGTAAGGATGTGCACTCTCGCCGGGGAGAGTGCTGTGTGTTTCGTGGGGCGGACAGGAGTGGCCTGTGCACGGAGATTCCAGCTGCGTGAGTGACCCTGCGACGCGGGCACCTAGAGAAACGTGTGCTCGTGAAGACCTCTGGGTGGGAGGACACCGAGAGTTTCGGGGCATTTTTTGGCTTTTGCTTTACTTATCCAGATATTTACATAGTGACAATGTTATTTCTCTAATGGGAATTTTGTTGTTGTTGTCCAAGCCTATATTGTTGATATTTTTTTTCCTGTGTTGTCAGTTTTTACCTGCGGTGACAGTTCTTGATTCTCCCTCCACCTTGGTCTTTATGGGAAAAGGCTCTTTTCTCCACTCAGGGACACGCATTCAGGGTAGGACTTCGGACAGCAGGAGAGCACAGAGGTGACCCTCACAGGGTCCGGCTGCCGCCGCGCTGTCCACAGAGACTGTTTGTCCGCACGTGTGCGCTGCTGCTCACGTGGGGCAGGGCGGTGCTCTTCCCTGCCCACTCAGAGCAGCCACAGTCTTCGGCTTTGTTTCTTTCATTGCCCTTCAGCCTTATCATCACTTCTTCTGGCTGCCAGTGGCTGCTTCCTTCCGCGTAGTGTGAGCACTGCTAGGCCCCGCGTGGACATTACCACAGCCTCCTGACTCCACGCCTGCAGGCACGCTGAACCCCCGTGGCCACTAGGACGTGTCCTTTTCAGGAAGGTTCTTCCCAGAGTGCTTGGAGCACGCGTGGGCTCGAGGTTCCCGGGGCGGGGGCCGGCAGGGGTAGGCTGCCGTGGTCGGGCCCCTTGCGGCCTGAGTTGTGACCCGGAGTCTGGTCGCCTGGGGCGTCGTGTGCTGGTTGCGGAGGGCCCCATACGTCGGAAGAGAGGGCTGCGTGGGCCCCGCAGAGCTGCCTTCCTTGGAGGGTAACCTCTGGGCTGGGGTGGGTACTCTGTGCCCCGCACTGACGGGCGACCACAACAGCCCCCTTCCGCACGCACTGTCCTTGGCCTGTCTTTAGCCTGTGTAGTTGCACTGCTTTATGGGGAACTTCTTTAAGGGGTCCTAATGCTGCCGTTTGCAGCTTTAGATATTTCTAGACAATATTTAAGTCCTGGCCCTGCTCCTGGCTGCCATGATGTTGTTTGAGCCCGTCCCCAAGGGAAAACCAACCTTCAGCATTTGCATGTTACGTTTCAGGGCTCCTTTTGGAGAACATTCTGGGAGGTTTTGTGGGGTTTAGAACACCATGAGCTTGGTAGTATTCAAGAAATGCAAATCCCATGATACTGCCCTGTTCTGCCGGATCATCCTTCTGTGTATTCACTCACTCTGCGCAAGCATCCTGTGCGCATTCTGCGCAGTGAGGCTCTTCCTCCCTGAACTGGAAGCTGTCTGTGGCCGCGGTGGAGTTGGCGTGTCCCCAAGTGCTGTGGGCTGCCTGGGAGGAGCTTCGGGGAGGAGCTCAGCCCTGCTTCTGCAGAAGCTGCTTCTGGAGATGAAACTGTCGTGGCTCAGTCCACACTCCATGTTGGTCTAAGTCGCAGGCCTTCGGTTCATTGGCTGGTGCTTTGGACATAAGTTTGAAATTTATTTGGATTATGAGGATGGTCAGGATTCTCATGTTGCTCTGAAGCTAAGTGGTTTCCTGCAGACAGACAGTGGAGCCAAGAGGTGAAGACTCCTGTCAGCTGGAAGTAACTGCGAACCGCTTTGGACCCCAGCACCGTGGCTCGCTGCGGGTCTGCGGCCATTCTGGAGAACACTAGTCCTCTCCAGGCAAACCGAGGGCCCTGTTGGGATCTGGGGCGTTGAGGAAATGCATCCTCGCTCTTGGACCTGGTGTGGCAGTGAATGGTGGGAAGTTCTTTGAGCTGAGCGCCTGGTGGTCCATTGATCAGAAGCGACTTCGATCTGTCTTCCTTGGTGTATCCTTGCACCGCTTGTCCCTTTATTCCTCTCCCCCGTCTCCTTCCCGCCCCTCCCCCTTTTCTGGTACTTTTGTTTCCTTTGTCTCTTAATTCAGGTATAATGTAACTAAAACATATTGGGTTTTTTTTAGGTCAACTTTATATATACAGTAAAATGCATACATTTAAATGTACAGCTTGGGAGTTACCTGGTGGTGCCGTGGTTAGAACTCGGTGCTTTCACACTGCCGTGGCCTGGGTTCAGTCCCTGGTTGAGGAACTGAGATCCCGCAAGCTGCACGGCACGGCCAAAAGTAAAAATAAATGTACGATTCGATGAATAATCACCTCCCTAGATTTCCATCACCCCCAGAAAGTTCCCAGGGTACAGAAATCTTATGTTTACATGCAGATTTTACATAAATATCTACCCACGTGGCCACCACCTCGATCAAGATTAACGTTTCTCTAGCATCTGCCAGACGCATGGGACACGTCCACTCACACTGCTGTCGGTGTGCTCTGGACACTCGGGTGCTGAATTCTGTTCCTGATGAGTCCTGAAGTGATTGTCTCTGGGGGGGCCCCTGGCGTCCTCCACACACCCCACTCCTGGCACTCCGCCCCAAGGAACGACTCCGCCCCAAGGAACGACCGTTCTGTCTCTCGCAGATCTGGGACACGGCCGGACAGGAGAGGTTCCAGTCTCTGGGTGTGGCCTTCTACAGAGGCGCAGACTGCTGCGTCCTGGTGTTTGACGTGACTGCCCCCAACACGTTCAAAACCCTCGACAGCTGGAGAGACGAGTTCCTCATCCAGGCCAGTCCCCGGGATCCTGAGAACTTCCCCTTCGTTGTGCTGGGAAACAAGATTGACCTCGAAAACAGACAAGTAAGTGCCAGCGTTGCCAGGGGTCAACACTATGGGGCTTGAGAACCTGCGAACCTGCGAACCTGCTCTCGCTTGGGTTAGGGCTACTGAGTCACAGGAAGGGCCTTCTTGTAAAGGGGCAGCGAAGTTTTGGATGACAGGTGCTGTTTTTAGATTTGACTGGTAAAAAACTATATGCCGCAGGGATCTACACCCCATGTCTCTGGCTGCGTGTGCCCCGTGCGGGGGTGGGTGTGGGAGACACTAACTAGCCACCGGCCCGGCCCTTGGAATGGGGCCTGGCTCCCTAACCTGCGAAGACCTACCAGCCTGGCTCCCCCATGGACAGACGGGCAGCAAAAGTCTGCAGAGGTTGGTATTCCCTTGGGAATTACGGCAACAAAGTAGGAAGCCCACCGAGTGGGGCTGCCTGCACCGGCCAGCTCTCTTGGTCCCAGTGACGGGATTTGCCTTGAGGTCGTGTGATATTTTGGTCTTTGGGACGCAAAGGCAGACTTGCACTTAGTCTGGCTCATGCACTCTTAGATCGGGGATGCTTCCTGAGTCCGACGCTGTGTTCATCTGACGAGGACACTCAGATGCCAGATGACGGTGCGTCTGGGGCTGCGGTGCCCAGGAGGAGCTTTCTAGCATTTTTCCTCTCCTGTGACAGCCCCCTGCTTCTGGGGTACTGTGTGAATTTGGAGGGTTCTGTGCTGAGCCCAGGCCGACTCTGGAGGTGCACTACCACCTGCCCAGCTGCCTTTGGGGACTAGGGCCCAGGAGGCCAGTTCACATCCCCATGCTGCCCCTGCAGCTGTGACTTTGGGTCATTATTACCTTTGCCTCTGAGCCTCGTTCCCTTTCTGTGCTGGGAACGAGGGGATTCGAGTGTGACCTTGTCAAGTGCTCTCTCAGCGCCTCAGGGGCCTCCCTTGATCCTCGTGTGTACAGGAGATGCTTTGGGCTTTGAGGTTCCTTTCAAATAGCATTTCTCTGGGGAATGTAGGCTCTTAATTGTAGCTAGGTGTATTTCTGACCACTCATCTCTTTTTCTCCCTCTCCTAAGTGACCTGGTCCTTCGCATGCCTGAAAATGGGCTAAGGGTGGGGAGAGGTCAGGACATGTGAGGCAGGGTGAGGGCCTCGGGGCTCTGGTGCCTAGGTGTGTGGCCAGGTGAGGTGCCATGAGCAGTCACAGAAGGGGCTGCCAGGCGTGTCCTGTGCTGAGGGCTGCCTCTGAGGTCCCAGGAGGGACGCTTACTTCTTCCTGGGCTGGCGTCTTACTCCCTTCAGAAGCTGCTTCTAATCTTGGTGCGGCTGAGGGTCTGAAGGTGTGGGGTGGTAGGCGGGGTGCTTTGGCTCCTGGCTCTACTGTGTGTAGCCAGCAGGGTGACCGAGGCGGCAGGGGGGACAGTCCGTCCCGGGTGGGATTCCCGCTGTCCCCTGCCCGCTGCCGCTGTCCCCTGCACACACATGCCCTGCCTCTTCTTCCAGGTGGCCACAAAGCGGGCACAGGCCTGGTGCTACAGCAAAAACAACATTCCCTACTTCGAGACCAGTGCCAAGGAGGCCATCAATGTGGAGCAGGCCTTCCAGACGATTGCCCGGAACGCGCTGAAGCAGGTGGGTGTCCAGCGGTGGTCTGGCTACCTCTGGTGATGGGCTGCTGAGCCAGCCCCGGCCTGGCTGCCTTGTCCTTAACCTCTCCTCGCTGACTCTTTTCCGTGTAGCCAGAAACCCCCGTGTTTATCCAGGAAGGTAATGGCACGGTCTGCTGAGGCTTCCGGAAATTCCGCTCATTTGTGAATAACGTCAACGGTGCGGGGCAACACAGACCTCAGCCGAGGGCTCCCTGGTCTGACCAGCCGCATTGTTCTTTCCTCTTGCAGCTGTCAGGTGGCCAGGCCACTAGATGGCCCTGGTCAGACTGGTCCTTCTATTTGAGGAGGGGATAAACTTGAATTTGAAACCCAGCTCTGCTGCTCATCATTGGATCCAGTTTTTTTGTTTTTCGGGTTTTTTTAAACAAATATTATCTTTTATTTATTTATGTATGTATGTACGTATGGCTGTGTTGGGTCTCTGCTGCTGCACTGGGGCCCTGTCTAATTGTAGCAAGTGGGGGCCACTCTTTGCTGTGGTGCGTGAGCCCCTCCCTCACTGCAGTAGCTTCTGTTGCGGAGTGCGGGCTCTAGAGTGGAGGCTCAGTAGTTGTGGCACACGGCCTTAGTTGCTCCGTGGTATGTGGGATCTTCCCGGACTAGGCTCGAACCCGTGTCTGCTGCATTGGCAGGTGGATTCCCAACCATTGCACCCCCAAGGAAGTCCCGTTTGGTTTTTTCAATCGTATCTGAGCTGTAAGAGACTGCGGGCTCTAGGAATTGTATTCCTTGGATAGAGTTTTCCTACATTTTTTCTTTCTTTATTTATTCAACTGTTCCCCCGAAATAACAGTGGCTTCTTATTGGCAAGTGCCAGTTGAAGACTTTTTGACTCAGCAGCTCTGTTGGGGCCAGTGCGTTGAGGCAGGTCCCAGCATTGTCAGTCGTCTGTAGTGGGCAGGTGAGGGGTGCGGTCGGAGGCAAGGGGCCCGTGGCAGCTGCAGAGGGCAGGGTGGTTCTGCAGCTCCTGGGAGCGGGCTTACAGAAGGCATGCTTCTCAGCAGTCGGGGCACCTGGCCTGCGGGCTGTACAGGAGTCGTTTTTCACCAGTTTCCTGTTGGCTGGCATCACTGTTGGAGTGTTCCTCTCTGAATATTGCTGTCCCTAGAGCCTCGTTACAGTGACGAGCTGGCATCTCGGGAGTGAGATTGTTAGATGGCAAGGTGTGTGTATTTTTGCGGGCAAGTGCCGCCTGGCTTTCCCAGGGACAGCAGTAATCCTTCAGTTCCCGCCAGCACGCTGCAGACCTCCCCCTGGAGCTCTGCTGACACTCTCCACGGCAGAGCCCATCGGCAGCCCTCCCGCGGGACCCCGCAGTGCTCAAGAGTGCTTTTGAATTGAACCTCACTTCACCTGTTACTGCAGTGGATTTTTTCAATTCCTTTGGCCATAGATAATTTTTTAGTTGAGTATCCAGTATTCACATACCTTGGGGTCTGTCCTGGCCGTCTGCCTGCTCCTTGCCTGGACCATCTTGATTTCACTGCCTCTGTGTCAGACCCCTGATCAGGCAGGCCTCCCCTCACTAATTTTATCTTTTTTCTTGGCTATTTTTGGTTCATTTTATCCATTTTTTTCTTCACTCTCTCTCCAAATAAGACCTAATGAGATTCTGATTGGAATTGCATTCCAACCGTCGTATTGGCCTCTCTGGGTGCCTTAACAAATACCACAGACTGGGTGGCTAAAGCCACAGACTTTTATTTTCTCTCAGTTCTGGAGCCAGAAGTCCATAATCAGGGTGCGAGCAAGTCCAATCTCTGGTGAGGACTCTCTGTTAAGACAGAAAGTAGCTAAGTGTGTGTGAAGGGCTGAGGGCATCAGATAGGGTCCGGGGTGGCCGCCGATGGTGCAGACTTTCTTTTGGGGATGACGTCATAGACGTGTCCTGGAATCACGGCGTGGTGGCAGCTGGCAACTTTTGAATATACTAAACAGCACGGCACACGCACACTGCTGTGTTCAGTAGAGCTTTTTTTTAAACTATATAGTCGTAGAGGTTGTTACTTTTATAGCAATTGTGAATGGAATGATTTTTCCTAGAGAACTTCTGATGGATAGAACCAGTCGCTGCTTTCCCAAATCCTTGAACAGTTCCTGCTGCACAGGTGCTGACTGTTTAAGTGACAAATTACTTCTCTACATCAGCAAGTAGAAAGCTGCTCCTCCCTGGAAACATGCTCATCAGCGCAAGGCCCGCTGAACTGACCGACCCCCAGTCTGTATCCCCGACGGAGGGGATCCGTCCTTGGCTGGGCTCTGCGTGTGCAGATCTGGAGATACGAAAAGGAAGCTAGACCCTGAGTCCAGAAAGATGAGAGCAGATAGGGGGCTGGAGGAGCGCCCGGGAACCTTGTGGAAATGCTGGCTCAGGGCGGCCAAATCCAGGCCACGGGAGCGTCTACCTTCTTGTCAGGCGTTGGTAGAAGCCTCGGAGCAGGCGGCGGCCCCCAGGCTGACGTCACACGGAGGGCGCGTTGGCCCTGTCCTGCCTGCCTACTTCAGTGTCACCTTGCCCCATCGTCTGCTCACTTGGCTTCGAGCACCTTCTGCCAGGGCCCTCACTTCACTGCTGGGCCTGCTCCGTGCCCATGCCCCCCATCTGCCCGGGCTGAGCTCACGAGTCTCCCCGAGCCTGGACTAACCAGCCTGTCTCTCTCTCCCTGCCCAGGAAACGGAGGTGGAGCTGTACAATGAATTCCCTGAGCCCATCAAACTGGACAAGAACGACCGGGCCAAGGCCTCGGCAGAAAGCTGCAGCTGCTGAAGCGGCAGAGAGAGCAGAGCACAGAGTCCTTCGCGAACCAAGAACACAAGTAGGCCTTCCACCATGAGCCCCTCTCCTCTCCACACAGTCATCTCTCACATCCAGCTGCCAAAAGAACCCCCAGACACAGTCTCCCCTGCACACACACACCCACCCGCACCCCTGACACAGACAGACTCCACAGCCCAGGCCTGTGACGGCTCCATCGGGGTCCCTGCGTCAGCCCTCAGATGGCAGCAGGATGGGCCGGCTGTAGAAATCGGTCCGGTTTGGAGTCAGCCTCGGAGACGACTTCTTTTTGTCCACTGGAGAGAGAGAACTGTTTACAGTCAACCTGTGTCTCATTAGTTCCGGTTTTTTTAACTTGTCTTGTGGTCTTTCTACACCCCCCCCCCTCCCACCGCGAAGGCTACCACTTGGGAAGGCGGGGGCCCCGCACTTCATCACAGGCCACACCCAGTCTGATCAGGCTGAGTTTTTATGTATCTGTTAATGCTTGTTCCTTTTAACTAATCAGATCTTTTTACAGTATCCATTTATTATGTAATGCTTCTTAGAAAAGAATCTTATAGTACATGTTAATATATGCAACCAATTAAAAATGTATAAATTAGTGTAAGAAATTCTTGGATTACGTGTTTAAGTCCTGAGATGCAGGCGTAGAGATGGAGGGTGAAGCCCGTCTGGATCGCAGAGTGTTCAGCCACTCAGATTTCAGAAATCCAGCTGGAGGCGGTATTCTGTACAGTAGACCCGAGAATCACGTACGCCTTTTAATCAAAGACTTAGGAGCCAAAAAGCTTTTCATCTCTCCAGGGGGAAAACTGTCTAGTTCCCTTCTGTATCTAAATTTTCCGAAGAGGTTGATTTGCGTAATACCATGGTGTGTGCAATGGAGAAACGGCTGTTTCAGAAATATAAAACTCTCATTTTTCTTTTTTTTCTCTGCTCCACACTTTGAAACTCCCTTATTAGATCAGCATCCACGTACAAGAGGGAAAGGAAAAGGAAAATCCTACCAGACCTGTCCTAGGGACTTTACCTTTGTTCTGGAAGGTGCTCCTTTCGGGGCTGTGGCATCCTTAGGTGAGAAGACCTTCTCTCCTTCCTCCCAGTACAACCCGCCATGCCTTCCCCGTGTCCTGGGTGTGGAGCCAGGCGGCTGTGCCCCAGGACCTGCCCCGCATTGTAGCTTGCTTCTCAGAGCACCTCCCTCTCTCCAGAGGCCTGCATTCTACGGTGTGGGCCAAGTTCTTCTGTAAAGAGATGAACGTGATGCCAATAAAATGTAACAAGAACAAAGACCATCTGTCTTCGCCCTGTCTTTTTTCCCTCTTCCAGACTCGGGCTCAGGAGAGACCCTGTTAGCTAATCACTGCCGTTGCTTTTTCTGGGCCCGCAGGACTCCTGAGGCAGAAAGGCCTTCTCTCCAGCCCTGCAGTACCTGCCCCTGGCTTTTGTCTTTTGCATTTTTAATCACAGTATTGGGGGGGGGGGGCCCCTGCATGGAGAGAGCATTGTCCCTTTAGAGGAGCAACCACGAGCTGCTGGGGGCCCATGGACCACCACGCACAGCCTGTGAGTGTCACTCGGCCTTTGTGCTGTCTTGTTTTTTAACTGGTGTGGTTGCTAATGCTGTGATGGTCGACCATCACATAGTTCTGGATTTCTGATTTTTCACAGGACAGGAAGATCTGGCAGCACCGGCCCCATATTCCAACATAGATAAGCAACAGCCGGGACTGAGTAGATGCCACCGAGAGCCAAGTGTACGAGCTAGTCGCGTCTCCCGCCGCAGGACAGTGTAGGTTTTGCAGGTTCTACCTGGGTCCCCCCTTCTCGGGCCCCTCAGTCGTGTCTCTCCCCTGCCGCTCTCGGCCGTACTTCACGTGTAAAGGTAGCGTCCCCAGGAGCTCACAGCCACGGCGCCGCCGCGGCCAGGGGGACTTTTGCCGCTGCTGTGGCCCCGGCCCCTGGGCCGGGCTTGGTGGGTATGCTGTTTGGCCTCGAGAGGAGCAGAGTCCTTCCCAGCTGGCGGCCTCGTGCTGGGCCGTGCTGTGTGGACCAGGCTGCTGTTCTCGGAGCGGGTCCCTCTCGCCCTAACCCTGAACATGACGTGGAAATGGACTTTGACCTCTGACCTCAGCCATGCCCTAAAACTGGTGACCATCCTTACACTGACCTGCTTTATTTTTGAAATGAGCCCGAACATAACCTCGTGGCCCCGATCCCAGCCGTAGCTAGCTGATTTGAAATTTGACTTTTAACCGACCGTGACTCTGTGCTCAGCTTCGTCTTGCCACTGACAGTCATCCTAAACATGAGCCCCCTTGAAATGACCTTGAATCTGATCCTCCTCCTGACCCTGTCATATTCCAACTTTGAAGTTAACACTGAGCCCTACCTCCCATGACAGCCTTACTCTCCAGCCTGAGCCTAATCCACACCGTGTCCCATCAGTGGCTGGCTGACCTTGATCTCACCTTACCTACCTAAACTCTGTACGTACAGCTGCACTTACCTCGATTTGGCTTCTCCACAGTAGGAAGTAGGGCTGAGACTGAACTCTGCGCTAATGCAGCGTCTTCTCCCACATTCCTACCGAGTCAGCATCAGCACGTGCTTGTGAGAGAAACAGCTTTGCTCCCGCAAGCAGTAAGATTTGCTTTTGAGGAGAATGGGAGTTGGAGTGTTTGCACTAATGCAAATTCTTTTCAGTAACACAGTTAAGTTCGTTTGAATTTGCTGTGCCTCCCGGTAAGAATGTGAATTGAGACCAATGTGCGCTGCTATGTTTACATTCATCTCAGTTTGTTCTAACAAGAGGAAGTTTCTTTTGAGAAGAATGGGAATGATTTGTTGCACGGATACACAGTCATCTCAGTGGTACTCCTCAGCCTGATCCAAACCCAGCCGCCCTGGGAACGTGCATCGCTGCGCTTGCGTTCAGTTCACTCCAACAAGCTGTAAGGAGTCTGGGACTGACGTGTTGCGCTGATGGGAGTTCTTATCAAAACCTCTCTATTCAGACTGGTCCTCATGCCTCCGACCTCTCAGTAAGAAAAGTGCCTTTGGATGAAGGTGTGTTGCATTGCTTCCGTTCACGTTAGTTAACACTAACCAGCAATAAGCTTTTATCTTTGACAAGAATGCCTGATGCTGAGCTTGTCTGCACGTATCTAGTAGCACTAGTTAGATGAACGTGCCCTAGAGCTGAATGTAGGTCCATCACGGTTTACGCTGACCTGCAGTGGTTGAGACTAAGCTTGCTTACGCTAATACGGATTCTCCCCATTACCACTAATTACGCTCATCCTAATTGGCTCAAGCTCTCAGCAAGAGCTTGCTGTTGAGGTGAGAGTATATTGCTGAGTATATTCATCTTGTTTCATTCATCCTGACCCAGACCCTGATTCTCAGCCAGATACACTCTGAGGTTGAACCTCTTGCCTTGTCACGACCCTAAAGATCTTCCTGGACCTCACATTGCTGTTGGCACTTCTTTGGCTTCCAAATGACCTGACCACGTGATGTCCTAATTTTAGGTTGACTTCCTGCTTCACCTCAAACCAGATGCTTACCTTGAAACTGACCTTGAGCCTGACCCTGATCCAGTCTCTCACCCTATGGATATGTGTTCCTTGTGAATTGCCCTGATTTTTACCTTGTCCTGAACTTGACCCTGTGTCACACTTACGTTACAACCTTGGAATGACCCTCCTGATGCTGCACGTTAACCAAAGTCAGGGCTGAACTGGTCCTTGAATTTGATCGTCTTGAAGCTGACCTTGAAATTGACCCTCACCCCTCATCCGGATCATGCTGCCAGTGTCTCACACTGAGAAACTGATTTGAACCTTGAACTTCTCAACTCCAATCTTGTTCTTCATACCGGGATGCTCCTCACCATAATCCCCTTGAAGCAACCTTGGGTAAGCAAGCGTTCAAATTAACCTGAGCCTGACCTTGAGCCAGAGTTCTGTGCCTCGCCCTTTGCAGCTTGATCTTGAACTTCACCTTGAACCTGTGCACTGAAAACCACCTGGCCTTAATCCTCCTCGAATTTCAAATAAGCAAGAACTTGACCTCACATTTGAAAGTGGCCCGGTACAACTCAACAACAACAACAAAAACCCAGTAGAAAAATGGGCAGAAGACCTTAACAGACATTTCTCCAAAGAAGACGTACAGATGGCCTACAAGCACATGAAAAGATGCCCAATATCACTAATTATTAGAGAAATGCAAATTAAAACTACACTGAGCAAATCAAAACTACTCCTACCAGTCAGAATGGCCATCATTAAGAAGTCCACAGGAATTCCCTGGTGGTCCAGTGCTTAGGACGCCATGCTTCAACTGCAAGGGGAATGGGGGGTTCAATCCCTGGTCGCGGAACTAAGATCCTGCATGTGTGGGGGGAAAAAAAAATTTAAAGAGAGCTGTTCTTAAAACTAAAAAAGTCTAGGGCTTCCCTCCCTGGTGGCGCAGTGGTCGAGAGTCCGCCTGCCAATGCGGGGGACACGGGTTTGTGCCCCGGGGAGGATCCCGCATGCTGCGGAGCGGCTGGGCCCGTGAGCCATGGCCACTGAGCCTGCACGTCTGGAGCCTGTGCTCCACGGCGGGAGAGGCCACAGCGGTGAGAGGCCCGCGTACCGCAAAACACACACACACACACACACACACACACACACACACACACACAAAGTCTACAGGTAACAAATGCTGGAGAGGGTGCAGAGAAAAGGGGACCCTCCTGCACTGTTCATGGGAATGTAAGTTGGTGCAGCCACTATGAAGAACAGTATGGAGGTTCTTCAGAAAACTAAAAATCGAACTACCATATGAGCTGGCAATCCCACTCATGGGTATATGTTCAGAGAAAACTCTAGATCAAAAAGATACACGCACCCCTATGTTCACTGCAGCACTGTTTACAATAGCCAAGACATGGAAACAACCTAAATATCCATTGACAGATTGATAAAGAAGATGTGGTACATAAATACACTGGAATACTACTCAGCCATAAAAAAGAACACTCCAAAAAAGAACATTACGGGCCAGTATCTTTGAATATAGATGCAAAAATTCTAAACAAAATATTAGCAAGCTGAATCCAATAACACATAAAAAAAGATCATACACCACAATCCCAAGTTTGAATCTAAGTGGGATTTAACCCAAGTTCACAAGGATGGTTCTCAACATTTGCAAAATCAATGTGATATATACCACATTAACAAAAGAAAAGTCAAAAACCAAATGATCATCTCAATAGATGCAGAAAAAGCAAAAACAAAATTCAGCATCCATTCATGATAAAACCTCTTACCAAATTAGAATAGAGGGAACACATCTCAACATAATAAAAGCCATTTATGACAAACCCACAGCCAATATAATAATGGTGAAAACCTGAAAGCCTTCCCGCTAAAATCTGAAACATGACAAGGATGCTCACTCTCACCACTTCAATTCAACATAGTATTGGAAGTCCTAGCCACAGCAATCAGACAAGGAAAAGAAAAGTTATCCAAATTGGAAGGGAAGAGGTCAAACTCATTATATACAGGTGCTATGATACTATATATAGAAAACCCTGAAGACTCCACACAA